AATTTAGCCAAATACTTTATACGGCTCTTTTGAAAGAAGGGCCAACATTTTAGGTGCATAAGCAGCAATTGGGAGGAAAGAGGAATATTCTAACAAGTGGAAATATGTTAAAACTTCTTTAATCCAGTAGAGGGCAGAAAGGAATTTTAGCCTTTTTCTCACCTGTAATTATCCGAACAAAACTGTGGCAATCCAAGGCAAAGTTCAGTGACACGTTTGTAAACAAGTTATCCCCAGCCCATTACTACACATGTTATTCTGGTTGTGTAGACAGGTTCTGGCTAGTGTGCTCAGAGCCAGTTGGATCCTGTCTAGGAGAAAAAGATGTATATAATTTTGAGTTATTTATGCCTAAGAGGGGACAATTATGTACTGTCCATATAACAATACTACTAATCAATTCAGATCTTATTTACTACTTACAACCCAGCATGTCACGGTTTTCCCCAGGTGTGTTTGGGGTGCTCCAGATGCTGGAATGAAACAATGTATGAAATAATGAGTAAATTGTTTGTTTCAAGATCAAATGTTTCCTTTTGAAAGTATCTGTACCTCCATGTGAGCCTGTAAAATAGTAAAAGTGATTTTCACCACCTACTCGGGACTCTGAAAGTTCCATCTTATCCTTTCAGAGCTACAGCCAAAACTTGTGGTGGTAGTAGCTATTACTTTGTAGAGATGAGGTTAATACTAAAACATGATGACAACTGAGAAATGAATCTTTTTCTCGGTGTTATAATTTCCACACTGGTTGCTGTCTGGCTTTTAAAAACCACTTTTTAAAGGAAAATAAATTGTTCACTGCTGATTCGTAGTGAAGGCTGCTTGGGTTAATATGTAGTGTTTTAGATTGGGTTCCTCAGGAAGCAGCCCCTGAGATGGAGTGAGGATATTTACAAAGGAGCACCCTTGGGATCTGCAGCTGTGCAAGGGAGGGGGCAGAAGCCGGGTCAGGCCGAGGGAGAAGTGTGGTGTCCTTCGCAGCGGGCCCCAGTGGGAACTCTGGATGCCGGGGACTCATCAGAGTACCCTGAACTGGGGCACTTCCACACTGATTGGTTACGGGATGTTCACCTCCTACCCTAACCCTAACCACAGCCCACGGTCTTAGTTGAGGTGGCTCTTTGCGGTCAGACCATCCTTGAGGGATAAGCACTGACAGCCTCAGCAGCTGAGACAAGAAGTCTTTATTGAAGAGAGATCTGGGTGCCACATCACAGCACAGGGAGCTTGAGAAACAGCACACACACACCCAAAAAAACAATCAGGTACACTGAATTCTCTTTCCGATGAATTGTTAACTCTTTAATGCTGGATAACTTATTGATTGCTTTAAAGAGAAAGTGATCATTCGCTCTTTGTTGTTTGGAAAATAGGATTTTAAAGAATGAAAAAGAGCACATTTTTATCAAAGAGTGTCAGACTCTGAAATATAGTGGTAGCATAGACACATATACATGGTTTATTTATTTGCATTGGTATTGCCTTATGAATAAAAAACTATGCTGATTAAAAGTAACTACAATGACTAATGGAATCATAGTTTGTGGTCATTCTTTTCGATCTTTCAGGAAAAGTTGTTAAATAAGTCACGGAGTGATGCTGGTAGTTTGTCAGATAATGAAGCACAGGTAAATCCATAATGAAAAGACAGGAAGCAGGGAAGGTAGATTTGTATGTTGGTCGTGGAACAGTCATTTCCATCTCGCCTTTATGTATTTCATATTTAAGCCTATTAATTTCATCTATTTGTTCCTTTGTCATTCAGTCATAGCTTCAAATGTGTGCCTGCTGGGAGCAGACCCCTGTGGCTGCTTCATACATCTTTGAGACATGGTTCTCACTCTCAAAGAGCTCATAATATCATCCCTACAAGTCACATTTGTTCTATCACCACCAATCTCATTAGAAAAGTATACAATTTAGGACTTCCCTGGTGGCGCAGTGGTTGAGAGTCCACCTGCCGATGCAGGGGACACGGGTTCATGCCCCGGTCCGGGAAGATCCCACATGCCGCGGGGCGGCTGGGCCCGTGAGCCATGGCCGCTGAGCCTGTGCGTCCGGAGCCTGTGCTCCGCAACGGGAGACGCCGCAACAGTGAGGGGCCCGCGTACCGCAAAAAAAAAAAAAAAAAGCAAAGGAAAGTATACAATTTGGGAAGATGTTAAGTTTATGGTACAGGAGATAAGTTTTCTAAAATAATGTTTTTTTCCTGAAAGCTCTGATGTTTTAATTGGCAATAAATATTTCAGTTGTTTTTGTGAAGTCAGTCTTAATTTGTTCAGTTTTTAAGAAAATGTCTATTACATACTGAAGTCTAAATACCCATAGTTTATATGTAATTCTTTCAATTTAAAATGGCATTCCATGAAGAAAGCAGATCATTTAGCCTCCAACTCAAACGTGAGTGCTTTTCTTGAAGACAGAGTTTGTATTTCAGTATGCAGCAGAAGTGCTTCATGGTTACTTCCTATTTTGTCACATAAAAAGGAGGTTTGAAAGTTGGGATTCAACAAAATTAATCCAGTTTTCTTTTCCATTAAGGATTTTAAGTGAAACTGGATTATTACTAATTTTTAACTACTAGTGCATGCCAATAAAAAAGAGTCAAATGACTGTTAGTACGGTTGGTGCCACTGTCTTGACTAACGCTAAGGCACCAGCAATTTTGCCCTCCTTTACTTTTGTACCATTAAATGTCAGCTCAAGTGTCAACACAGTGAAAAAGGCAAATAATGTATTAATATGAAAGGAGTCATGACCTCACTGTCCTCTGAAAGTGTCTTGCTTTCAGTGTCCACACAGTGAAAAAGGCAAATAATGTATTAATATTATGAAAGGAGTCATGACCTCACTGTCCTCTGAAAGTGTCTTGCTTTCAGTGTCCACACAGTGAAAAAGGCAAATAATGTATTAATATTATGAAAGGAGTCATGACCTCACTGTCCTCTGAAAGTGTCTTGCTTTCAGTGTCCACACAGTGAAAAAGGCAAATAATGTATTAATATTATGAAAGGAGTCATGACCTCACTGTCCTCTGAAAGTGTCTTGCTTTCAGTGTCCACACAGTGAAAAAGGCAAATAATGTATTAATATTATGAAAGGAGTCATGACCTCACTGTCCTCTGAAAGTGTCTTGCTTTCAGTGTCCACACAGTGAAAAAGGCAAATAATGTATTAATATTATGAAAGGAGTCATGACCTCACTGTCCTCTGAAAGTGTCTTGCTTTCAGTGTCCACACAGTGAAAAAGGCAAATAATGTATTAATATTATGAAAGGAGTCATGACCTCACTGTCCTCTGAAAGTGTCTTGCTTTCAGTGTCCACACAGTGAGAAAGGCAAATAATGTATTAATATTATGAAAGGAGTCATGACCTCACTGTCCTCTGAAAGTGTCTTGCTTTCAGTGTCCACACAGTGAAAAAGGCAAATAATGTATTAATATTATGAAAGGAGTCATGACCTCACTGTCCTCTGAAAGTGTCTTGCTTTCAGTGTCCACACAGTGAAAAAGGCAAATAATGTATTAATATTATGAAAGGAGTCATGACCTCACTGTCCTCTGAAAGTGTCTTGCTTTCAGTGTCCACACAGTGAAAAAGGCAAATAATGTATTAATATTATGAAAGGAGTCATGACCTCACTGTCCTCTGAAAGTGTCTTGCTTTCAGTGTCCACACAGTGAAAAAGGCAAATAATGTATTAATATTATGAAAGGAGTCATGACCTCACTGTCCTCTGAAAGTGTCTTGCTTTCAGTGTCCACACAGTGAAAAAGGCAAATAATGTATTAATATTATGAAAGGAGTCATGACCTCACTGTCCTCTGAAAGTGTCTTGCTTTCAGTGTCCACACAGTGAGAAAGGCAAATAATGTATTAATATTATGAAAGGAGTCATGACCTCACTGTCCTCTGAAAGTGTCTTGCTTTCAGTGTCCACACAGTGAAAAAGGCAAATAATGTATTAATATTATGAAAGGAGTCATGACCTCACTGTCCTCTGAAAGTGTCTTGCTTTCAGTGTCCACACAGTGAAAAAGGCAAATAATGTATTAATATTATGAAAGGAGTCATGACCTCACTGTCCTCTGAAAGTGTCTTGCTTTCAGTGTCCACACAGTGAAAAAGGCAAATAATGTATTAATATTATGAAAGGAGTCATGACCTCACTGTCCTCTGAAAGTGTCTTGCTTTCAGTGTCCACACAGTGAAAAAGGCAAATAATGTATTAATATTATGAAAGGAGTCATGACCTCACTGTCCTCTGAAAGTGTCTTGCTTTCAGTGTCCACACAGTGAAAAAGGCAAATAATGTATTAATATTATGAAAGGAGTCATGACCTCACTGTCCTCTGAAAGTGTCTTGCTTTCAGTGTCCACACAGTGAGAAAGGCAAATAATGTATTAATATTATGAAAGGAGTCATGACCTCACTGTCCTCTGAAAGTGTCTTGCTTTCAGTGTCCACACAGTGAAAAATCGGAAGAGGGGAGAGTTTAAGCAGGGCGGGGTGTGGGGGAGAGAGACGGCTTTGGCAAGAGATGGAAGAGCCAGGCGTTATATGATGGCAGCAGAGATGGAGAACAGGAAGGGAACAAGAAATGTCGCAGAGGCTACATAGATAAGATTTGGCAGTAGAAAGGCAAATAAGACTTGAAACTTACTAAGGTTTTTCAGCCTTGGTGACTGAGTGGATGGCAGTGCCATTAACCGAGGTGATGACTGGGGGCAGAGGAGCCCTGGTTTATGGTTGAAAATGATACTGCTTTCACCATGAGAGAAGAATCTGCATAATTCTCCCACTTGGAAAAGGATGGATTCTAGCACCGAGGAAAATGAACAATGTACTGTTGGCTGGGTCCGTGCAGCAGCCTAAGATCTGGTTTTGTATTGATAATGAATAGTGGCTCTTAGAAGCTCAGCACATTCTCGAATGATGCATAAGACTCTTGTATCTGTGCTTCCTGTAATAGTGTTTTCTCCTTCTGTTTTTAGGAATGGTGCAAAAGCTGGACCAAAAACTTCCAGTGGCCAATGAGTATCTATTGCTTTCTGGAGGAGTCCGGGAAGGCGTGGTAGACCTGGACTTAGATGAGCTTAATGTCTATGCCCGAGGGACCGACTATGATATGGACTTCACTCTTCTGGTGCCAGCCCTGAAGCTTCATGACCGTAATCAGCCTGTGACACTGGATATGCGCCATTCAGCCTTGTGCCACTCTTGGCTGAGCCTTCGGCTCTTTGACGAGGGGACGATCAGTAAGTGGAAAGACTGTTGCACCATCGTCGATCACATCAATGGTGCCACCAACTATTTCTTCTCCCCAACCAAAGTGGCTGACTGGTTCTATGACTCCATCAGCATTGTCCTATCAGAGATACAGAAGAAACCCCAGCGAGGGATGCCAAAGGTGGAAAAGGTAGAAAAGAATGGGACCATCATCTCCATCATTCTGGGCGTGGGGAGCAGTCGCATGTTGTACGATATTGTCCCAGTGGTCTCTTTCAAGGGTTGGCCGGCAGTGGCCCAGAGCTGGCTCATGGAGAACCACTTTTGGGATGGGAAGATCACTGAGGAAGAAGTCATAAGTGGGTTTTACCTGGTGCCTGCTTGCTCCTACAAGGGAAAGAAGGACAATGAGTGGCGGCTGTCCTTTGCCAGGAGTGAGGTGCAGTTGAAGAAGTGTATCTCCAGCAGCCTCATGCAGGCCTACCAGGCTTGCAAAGCCATCATCATTAAACTGCTGTCCCGGCCCAAGGCTATCAGCCCCTATCACCTGCGGAGCATGATGCTCTGGGCCTGCGACAGACTTCCTGCCAGCTATTTGGCCCAAGAAGACTATGCAGCCCACTTTTTGCTGGGCCTCATTGATGACCTGCAACACTGTCTGGTCAACAAGCTGTGTCCCAATTACTTCATCCCACAGTGCAACATGCTGGAGCACCTGTCCGAGGAGACGGTCATGCTCCACGCGCGGAAGCTCTCCTCTGTCCGCTCAGACCCGGCGGAGCACTTGCGCACCGCCATCGAGCACGTCAAGGCAGCCAACCGGCTGACACTGGAGCTCCAGAGACGAGGGAGCACCACTACCATCCCCTCCCCGCAGTCCGACGGAGGGGACCCCAACCAGCCCGATGACCGTCTGGCCAAAAAACTGCAGCAGCTAGTGACTGAGAACCCGGGGAAGTCGATCTCCGTCTTCATTAACCCTGATGATGTGACAAGGCCCCATTTCAGAATTGATGATAAATTTTTCTGAGCGTTTTTGCTGCCTTTTTTTCCCCTCTGGTTCTAAAACTCTCATAATATGTAGTGTGGTTTGTGATGCCGTCTTTCTGTTTTTTACATATCCAGCCTAGGTTGGATCTGTTAAGAACATATTTTAAGTTTCCTGGTTCTGCAGGATGGTGCAGGCTCTGAAACAGTATATTACTATTTCATATTCTGCCTCTGATTTTGTTGTTTACTTTTTGTAGTTATTACACATTGTTTTGGTGTTTTTTTTGTTTTTTTTTTTTTTTAAGGAGAACTTGAGCCATAGATGAAAATACCCATGAATTCTCTCACTTTTTTATGTTTCATACTTCGTGCTTTCATACTTTTGTTCATGGGAGTGGGGAAACAAATCTCTTTCTCATGCTTCAGGATTCTCTTATTTTTTTGTTTTCCTTTTTTTGTCTTTATTTTTTTTAATGAGCGTTCATCACCACAGATATTTGAAAATCATCTGAACCTGGGAACTACCTGGTACGTTAGTTGGATTTATTTCTTTCGACCAGTGGCCAGGGTATTTTCTCCCTCTCTGCCAAACAATGTAGACTTTGAAAGTGATAATGCTATAAATTGTGTTTGGAGCAACTTCATTGAATGTAATTGTCCTTAAATCAGAACTTTGGATGGTTTGGAAGGGTGTCTTTGACAACTTTCCAGATAGAATTAAGGTTTCCAAATGGTAGTTTTAGTGTGTGTAATTATTTGAAGCCTTATTTAAATCCTATTAAAGAATATACCATTATAATTGTTATTTGCACTAATGAGATTTTTGCCATTGTCGGAGTTCCAATGCGTGTATTTCAATATAAATTGACATCCACTGTTGAAATGCTATCATTTCTTCATTTAGGCCATTTGTCTTCATCAATAGAATGATTCTTTGTATTTGTTTAGTTCTTTAATTGTGGGGTCCTGTTTTGCCCTCCTTGATATTCCTGGTTCCTATCTTACTGAGAAATTTTTAAAGCTTTATATCTGCTAAGTGACTTTATCTGAAGCTGGGGAAAGTACATGTTTGATAAGGTAGTTGTCTTTGTATGTACAGTTGATCCTTGAACAACACGGGTTTGAACTGCGTGGGTTCACTTATACACGGATTTTTTCCACTAAATGTGTTAGTTGAATATATGGATTTGGAATCGTGAATAGAAGATCAACTGTAAAGTTATATATGGATATTCAACCACACAGGGGTCGGTGCTGCTGACCCCTGCTTTATTCATGGGTCAACTGTATTTCTTTTCACATTATAGAGGTAAGCTTTTTTGTAAAGTCTCTTTGCTTCTACTGAGAGTTTTGAGGAAAACTGGAAGGAAAAATTAATATCAGTCCCCACATAGAAGATACCATGTCTGATCAAAAGCAGATTTTTCTATAGAGCAGGAACCAGGAGATAACTGTGGGTGGCAGCCTTGGTGTAGAGGTGTCCTGTCTTCATGGATGAAATTACTTGCCAGGTTTAGGTGCTGCAAGGCATCGATCGGCTCCCTGTTTTGGTATGAACTCATGGCAAACTGTAGTGTTTGGGAGGTCAGGGGCCTGCCGATCTCTCAAAGGATGACCGTGATGTCTACTATTGGAAAGGTCAAGCAGCATTTTGATTTTGATCTTGAATGTCCAGTCTCACGGGTTGGATTTTGGCCGATTGAAATTAGGCATATACGGTCTTGGTTTTTGCATGGGAATTATTGTAATGCTTATAAATGAAAATGAAATCATTCAACCATCTTAAGTCAAACAAAAACAATAATAATAAAAGAAACATACTGGCCTTGGAATTTTGTTGTTGTTTGTTAGTTTGTAATCTGGAAACTATTTTCTTATTAGTAATCCCAACAGTAATTTTCAGTAGATATAGCCCTGGGCTTGCTGCTGTCTTTCAGGCCAGATGTCTATGTAGTGAACAACCAGTATTCATTCATTCTTCCCTTTCTCCAATTTTCCTACTAGTATCTACCTATCCTCCATATAATGTGTCCTTCTTGGGAAGTGACTTAATCCCCAGCTTCAGACGTGCACCCTGATTGGTGTAGGCCAATCAAAATAACCATTTTCCTGACCACAATCATTATTTAGGGATTGGGCATACAATGTCAGCTCCTCCATTCGGGGACATGCTCAGGATTCTAGCTTGGGATGCTGGGGGAGCAGCATGCACCCTGGATATGGAAGAGGAGGTACTTGGATTTGCTATCAGTACCATAAACCTAGGGCTGGTAAGTCAGACATCGTTGAAGGTGAGTAGAAATGAGACGTAGTCTGATACCTTTTCTTGTCTGAAACATAAGCAAATCATTGACCTACTAACCCTCTGTCCTTTTGAAGCCCGGAAGATTGGTTACAATAATGTTTCAAGTACAATATAAAATGCCTCAAGGGAGCAGAGTCATCATTTTAATGTTACCTACATATACTTCTTTGGGTTGTGGGAATTTATAAGCTATAACTCAACAGGATTCCAGTTCTCTGATGGGACATGTTTTTAACATATTTCAAGAGTAGATTACCCTGGGCTTCCCTGGTGGTGCAGTGGTTGAGAGTCCGCCTGCCGATGCAGGGGACACAGGTTCGTGTCCCGGTCTGGGAAGATACCACATGCTGCGGAGCGGCTGGGCCCATGAGCCATGGCCGCTGAGCCTGTGCGTCCGGAGCCTGTGCTCCGCAGCGGGAGAGGCCCCAACAGTGAGAGGCCTGTGTACCGCAAAAAAAAAAAGAGTAGATTATTCTGGACTGTATGGCTTTCTCATCTGAAATGGAAGATCCAAAGATGCAAGTCAAGGTTGGTTTCAGAGTGGATGGAGCCAAACAGGACCAGATATTTTAAAAATTATAATGTCCCCGAAATTACTGTGCAAAGTTATTTCAGAGAAAATGAGAGGCAGGTATATGTGGCTAATTTTACTTTCAGGTGGAGATGTGAGCAAACAGGGAGGAGGCTTTGGGAGCTCGTTGAAGAGCCCCTAGTGACTTCTTCACCAGCCCCTTATAAACATACACACACACACACACACACACACACACACACACACACACACACACACACACACACACACACACACAC